ATGGGTTGAATGGGTTACAAAACACTTTATTAAACGTTTAACACAGAACAAATGTACAGTGTTTGAAGAAGGTTTTTTCATCATCAGGTGTAAGTAGTTTTTATGGATATAGGAATATATATATAGTACAAAGCAAAGAAGTTACATGACTGGAATTTGCTTAAGGCGTAATTAAGGTATCTTGTTGAAGTTTGGATCTGTGTTTAAAATTATGGAATTTTTACTTTCTAACAGATATACTATGATTTTATTGAGTTGCAATGTTTGTGAACATGAGTTGTTTTTTATGCTCACCAAATAAAACAAATTTGTCATGAAATTTTACTATTTAGTGAGTATAATAGGTAATTGCAAAATATTGAGAACTCAAATCTTTATTGAATATTTTTATGTTTAACCTACTCAATGTGCATAAATAAATTAGACTACTTAACTGACTACTTAATTATTTATTATTGTGATTGAGACATGTTTTAAATAAGTACATTATTACTCCTATTGTGAGAGTAAACATTTACTGTATATTTGAATAAAACGAACAATAGCAATAGCACGGTAGCATTTAGTCTACAGTAGCAATTTATCCTTTTTTTTTAAAAAAAATATTTTTGCAAATGCTCAAATGGTCTATCATTTGAAATCAAAGATAATTTGAAAATTACTTTAAAAATCAAATTAATATAAAAGAAAATAGGAAAATTAATATCATGTTAGAATAATGCAGTAATTGATAAAGTTAAGTGGTAGCACACAACCTTTTTTGCTTGTGTGGGTTGTATGGGGCATGGTGTACTAATCGATTGATTAAATGTAATTTGTTAATTTACCCATCAATTAATCAATTGGCAAATACCACTAATCAACCAGCTCTATTCAAAATAATTTTAGACAATTCTTTGAAGTACTTAATGGATTAAAAAGGTTGGATCACATTCCATTAAATTATCATTTTGTCTTCCACTTTTATGTATAGGTATGTAAAAAATATATTTTCCTTATATTGATTTTCAAGTGTTTCTCTCAGTGTTTATACAGGCCATGGTTGAAACCTTGCTATGGTGCCAAATCAGGTTTAATCATTTACTAAGAAACTGTGAAAACAACTATAAACATTGCAATCCATGAAATTATTATTTTTCTTTGTCTTTTATGTATATATATATATATATATATATATA